TATTGCTTGAAAAAACAATGCTTGAATAATCAGTTGACATTGAACTATGGTAATATAATTGTAGATCATTGGCAGCATATGGACCTGACATTGAAATGTCAAAATTATATTCCATGCAGGCCACAATTAAATACCTCTTATAGGGTGTCATATTTTCATTACATACCTCTCCCACCAATATGACTTTAAAAAAAATACCGAACATGTCGGCAGTGAGTACAAGTATCAAAAGGTGAGCTAGCTACACTGGTCCACACATTGCACAATAGGTAACTATTATTTTTAATAAAAACAAGCCATGCATGGCACAGTCCCTGTTAGTTGTCAAATTTAAGATATATAGTTTTGTTTATAGTAATATAGCTGGAATATAACCATGTCAGGAATATGATTTTTTAACATTAAAATGATTGACATTTGTATCTGATCATCAAAAAAGTACTTGTCCATATTAAGAGATATTGCTCTGGAACAGCATTCAAAATCAGCCATTTTGAATACATGTATATATATATAACATGATGTATAACGAATATATAAAATTTGAATATAATCAGTCAAAGCATTTAAGAGATATGGCTCTAAAAGCCCAATCATTAAAACAAAATGGCCGCCAGTCAACCATTTTGAATCCAATCTGAAAAATAAAATGATGTGCATCAGGAACCTGTAATGATGTCTAATGTATGTACCAAGTTTGAACGAAATCCATCCATAAATGCCAGAAATGCTTGATATTTGATGATTTTTTAGCACAAAAATGACCACCATTCGGCTATTTTGAACAGGATCGTCAAACCAATATATCATGATGTATAATGAATATTTAAAATTTGAATATAATCAGTCAAAACAAGTCGGAGATATGGGTCTAGAAGCCCATTCATTAAAACAAAATGGCCGCCAGACAGCCATTTTGCATCCGATGATATGCATCAGGAACCTGTAATGTCTAATATATGTACCAACGAAATCCATCCATAAATGCTTGATATTTGATGACCTTTTAGCACAAAAATGGCCACCATTTGGCCATTTTGAATAGGATCGTCAAACCGATATATCTGTCTATCTATAACATGATGTATAATGAATATTTAAAATTTGAACATAATCAGTGAAAGCAAGTCAGAGATATGGCATGAGAACCACATTCATTAAAACAAAATGTCCACCAGTCGGCCATTTTTAATCTTATCTGAAAAACAAAATGATGTGCATCAAGGTTTTATAATGTCTAATGTATATACCAAGTTTGAACAAAATCCTTCTGTAAACAGCCGAGAAATGCTTGATTTTGATGATTTTTAGCACAAAAATGGCCACCATTCGGCCATCTTGAATCAGATCAAAAAACAAATTGACGTGCATATGTATAAAATCATGTATGATGTATGTGTGAAGTTTGATTGTGGTTGGTCCAGACATTTCTAAGATACAGGTCCGGACGCACACACAGACGCACGGACACATGGAGGTCAAAACATAAGTCCCCCTTTTCGGACTGCGTCCGAACGGGGACTAAAAAATGAAGGTTCACACTGCTTGTTTGTATGCAAATTGTTTTACAAAGTATGAATTTCTTGTTATATTAAATGATTAATTCTTCAAACCCTTTCAGGGGTCAAATTTCAATAATTATTTTGCCAATTATATCAAAGGTAATTTACAGTTTAACAAACTGTCTTGCTCAGCTACTTAAAATGCAATCTTTAAAAGCTTTACTTTGTAGCACATCACATAAGTAATCAAAATATCAGATGATATTACATTAAACATACCACAGATATGTCCCATCTTGATCATTCCTGATTCCTTTGATCATTTCTTGTTGAGTGATACAAAATTCTCCACCAGTGTTGATAAGAGTCACAAGATTAGAATACATAGAATGGCTGTGAATCACTGCACCAGCATCTACAACAATATGAAAACAAATAATGCTGGTAAAAAAGTGTTAACACAAGAATTTTTAAAAATAACAAACATCCAGATACGTTTTCTAATGTTTCAGCAAGCACTGTACTTGCTGTGACCAGCTGAAAATAACTTAATCAGTGTAATTTTGGAGTGCATAATTAAATTCATAATTAAAATTTTTGGCTCACATGAAGATGTACTTCTAGTAGAGCAGTATGGTATTATAGACACAGACACAATCTTTGTATCAGCCATGGTCATGAGAATGACATTCAAGTTTATCCAATTTTGTTATTTAGTTAATTAGTAAAAATTGCATTTACAAAATTGTTAGTGAAGTAGACCATAAAATGATATCCTCGTCCACAGGGTATGCAAGTTTTAATTTTTACCTGCCCTATTAGAAAGTTACCCATCAGGTGCACAGGCAGGCAGTACATTCAAACAGTTCCACAACCAATAGACATTTGTATTCCTCTATAACCAATCCCAGAATAAATTTAGAGATGTAATAACATGTAATAATTAAAAGTACAAACCTCTTAATTTATAAGCATTCATGAATAATGGAGTACAGGCACTTTTTTTTAATTTTTTGCTTGGAGGAGGTCCACTTACATCTTTCTCATCAGTAGTTATCACAAATAGATCTTCAGGTTGAATTCTCTCTTTTTGAACTCCAGATGGCGCTACAAAGATTTCATTCCTAGAACAGATAGTGCATAACACTGTTAAATATTAGTAAGTTGAAAATAGCATTTTTTACCAAAATTGAAAAAGTAAAATCATCATGAAGAGAACAAATCTGACAGAGATCCTAAAAAACATTGTATCAACACACATGTACCAAGTATCATTTGAATTGAGCTGGTAGGTTTTCAACAAAAATGAAAAAAAAAAACATTTGTCAAAAATATAGAATTGAGGAGATCATCACGAAATGGAAAAATCTGAGAGGTTATCCCAATGCATGTGAATCATGAACATTAGCACTGTAGACCAAATAGTGTAGTTCCACTTCATTATTCCTATAATGACTACCGGTACTTTTTTAACATAGGTTCTGTTACATTGGTTACATAAACAATGTTTTTACACACATATCAAACACAACATGGCACAAAGTATTCCAATGGCGACTGTAGTGTTGCATGGAATGTCATAACCTCACTTAGACTGAGATACTGTAACTACAGATGGGGTAGATGCATATGAAAGTCTGAACATAACATATGGTAGATCTCATCAACTCTTGCTAGGAAACAACTATGAATTGTTTCTCAATCTATTAAAATGATAAATCACAAAAATGGTGAAGGTAACCCTGGAAGCAATCCGATTAAAAATCAGATTCCAGTTTGAGCTTCATTTTTTTATTTAAATATGTGTATAATTAATTATTTTTATTTTTTATTAAATTTATTATTTGCTGGCAGCTTTTTAGGAGTTTTGGTAAATGCATTAGATTTTAATCAGATTGCTATGAAAACAACACAATTTTGACAATTCATTTATTAATTGTAAAGTGGTAATTTGAATCAAGCAAAATATTCAATATTTTGTAATTTATGAGCACCTAAAATTATCTTACACTGATTGAATTATAATTTGAAATTATATGCTTGCACTCATGAAGATTATTTATGAGAGTTGTATTAAATATAAGTAACGTATCAGTTACTGAGACTGCTATGGTGGGAAACAGTAGCATAAAATCAGTATTAGAAGCCGCATCTCTTATAGAAGTTGCATCCCCTCTGTTGCATTGTACTATTTTAATAGCGGCTTCTAATACAGATTTAACAGGTAATTTGAATCTCTCAGCATTCCTACCAAAGCTTTAATGATTATTATAATCTTTTTTTCAGACATTTTCACACTGCTTTCCTAAGGGCCCACTATTTCAAAGTACAAATACCTCATATTACTGTTAATTTTCTCATCTTTTACAAATTTACTCACATTGGCTTGAGGTACTTTCCTTGAGGATCCTGGAAGTATGCCCTAGTTTTCAGTTTTCACTGGGTATAATTTTAGCAGATCAAGCGGGGATATTTATGAGGTTATTAATTCACTGGTTTCACACTAGAATTTACTGAGTTTTAATTTACTACATTTAGCTATCAGTGAATGAAATAACTAAAACACAGAGAAAAAATTAAGTCATATACAGTAGTGACACAACTCCCTTACAATTATTCAATCCAATGGTAAAATTACTTACCCAGACTTGATACTAATGCCACCTCCGGTTCCAGTAACCCATCGCAATTCATAGAATACTCGACACAATTCAGGAATCAAATTCCTTGGGTGTTCCTGAAAACAATGAGAATGATTTAGTACAGTCATACACAAACAAAAAGTAGAATTTGTTGCAATTATTTTGTTATTTGTTGTTTTAACTTTGTTATTTTCTCAGACTAATGAATTAATTTTAAGTAGCCCTGTGTAGATGGACTATCTGTTAGGGATTAGTATCATAGTAGGGTCATTTAGTTCATCTGATCAACACACCGATGTACATATTTTGAGTAATAATATTCTATTCTATTCTATTTTTTAATAGTGCAACTATCTAGACTAGCATGGCCTGCATACATTACTTACAATTAATTACAATGAGTTGTCTACTTTGAGTACCAATTCTGTCAAAAACTCAAATCGGTCAAATAAGAGAATGTTCTTCTAGAAGGTCATGGACAGGTGATGATGAACGCATGAACAGATTAACCCGGTCTTGACCTCGGTTAAATAGGCTAGGAGTCAAAAGGTTGATCTTGAAGTACACACACAGAACAGTCCTTGTGTCTGTGTTTTTATTGTGATATCGAAATATTTAAATCATTTCATTGTAGTATACTAATTGTACTACTTATTAAACACATAAAATTCCCCAGAAAGAATTAAATTGATTATACACAAAACAAACAATAAAACCTAGGACCAGAAAACTATTACAAAACAATTAAATTACATACAAAAAACAATGGTTAATCAATAATAACTAACCTAACCTTAATATAGCAAGAATAGGAATGTCTAAAATACTATCATAATAGTATCATAATAGCTAGGCAATTAACTGACGGGAGTAGCATTAAAAAAAAAGATATATATAAGTATGATAACATATATAACAGCCCATACATCATGCAGACATATACAAGGTAAATGTTAAAACTGCCGCGCTAATTCACAAACCTTATCATAGCTCGGATTCATGCCTGTCTCTGTAACCTGTGAACTGTTCACACGTGTCTGATGATTAACCTTTGAACTTACGTCTTGCATGACTCTTGTACATGTTGCGCGTGATTGCATCGTGATTATACTAACTGACGTGAAGGTATCCAGTTTAACATGTAATGTGCTCTTAATGTGAATTGGCAGTATTTTTTTCGAAAGTGGCAGTGATAATTTAATTTCTTCAAGTAAAAGTTGTTTGCGCATGCCCAGTTAAGGACATTTTGAGATTTTTCAAGATGGCGTCAGCCGGGTTGTTTCGGCGATGTTTCAATCGGCGAATGTTACATTTAGTGACATCAAGTCGAATTTCAACTCCACTGCGTCTACACAGGATGATTAGGACTTCATCTCGTGTTTTCGGTGAGTACGTTTCAAACATTCTAACAAGATTGTTGCGATCGGGAGCTATTGGGGGGGGGGGGGGGGGTTGAGGTGGGAAGGGTTACAGCACCTGAAATGTTGGATTGCCCCCAGACTTAAGGTAGCAGTATCTAACTTCTTTTAATTTTATCTTATAGTTTAGCTACTGTATTTTTTTTTCTTATGATTTGTATTTTATTTACCATACTGCGCCCTCTGATGGCATAGTAGTGTAATAAAGTTGGTAAGTATACAGTAGTGTGTGTAGCTCACATCACATTTCACTTGTTTTAGAAAGATTTTTTTAGGCAGATAGTGAGAGCAAAGTGACATGACTGTGATGAGGGTATGAAAAGCCTACATCTATAGAATCACACTGTATTATAAAAACGCTCAAGTCTGTCAAAGAGCTTGTTATTGATCGTATAAATCGTATTTGTACTATTGCACTTTCGAATGCAGCAATAATCTCCTTCGCTTCTGTTTAGGTCAAACCTATTTTTACTCCCTGACCCCTTAACTGTTTTTGACCAAATTTGAGAAACGTCACAAAATTGTGCCAGGCATGGAATGAGATTTTACAAAAATTCAAAAATGGGTAATGTAAACAACATCAAACATGACATTCATACATGTATCTGCAAAACAAGTCTTTTATACAAACAAAATGAAGCACAGTTATAACGACGATAAATATTATGTAGAATTCCTTATCTACCTACTCTTTTTTGGAAAAGCATGTTATAGAAGCCACATTATTTTTTTTTTATTTGGCCTTATGCATTTAAACCCTTCTAAAGACACACAAAAAAGAAAGATGTATAGGTTATAACTTTATACACAAACTACTTGGGTACACACAAAAGGTCACACTTGAGTTCATAGCAACCATGTATGGATGCCATGAATGTCCTATCTGAATTCAGGTCTTTGATATAACTGCTTGACCCAGTGTTGAATTTGCATGATCTTGAATTTTCTATTGGTTTTTAATTATTCTAACAATGAACTTGTATCACAATTTGTTTGTGAAATAGGACTACCATATCATCCTACCATATTAGGAAATGTGAATTCCAAATATGGAATGAGGTTTAAGAGGGGCGCAGCACCCCTCTTTAATTTATTTGCGCCCCTCTTCATTTGTAGCGCCCCTCTATTTATCTTCAGCGCCCTCCTTTGTTTTCGGTGGACAGCTGTTTTACCAGTCCCGGAAGATGTCCGGACGACGTTATTGAGAGACCTCTTATTAATTGACAGGCGATAAAACAAAGAACTAAGAGACAGATAGTGGCATAAGTGACAACTAGGACAATGGATTGGGTGTCTGGGGAAACACTGGCTGAATAAATAAACAAAAAACAATGAATGGATGCGCGAAGTGATTGTCACAAGCATTGCGTTAATCACGCAATGGGAGAGTCAAAACAAGTTCGTTCATCATTCCTGAATTAGCTGAGATACTTAAGAATAGAAGAACCAACAACAATTTATTGGTCAAATTGCTTGTTACTTGCCTTTTATTGTCGAAAAGTAAAAAAAAAAATCATCAAAAGAATCGCCACAACAAAACGTACGGTAAACACTGAAACAACATGAATGACATGGTATCTGATTTGACCTTTGTCTTCAGTACCCATAATGCAATCAATATAATGATCAATTAATTTACAGTCAACGGATTCGATTTTTTCTTTTTTCTTTTAAATGGTAATTTTGTTATGTGAAAATATTTTTCTTCTGATTACTTGAGTTTTTCAACTATCACAATATGTCAGTGCATTTATAAAACTTATGAAAATGAAAATACTTGAAAGAAATTTAAAAGAAATGAATGAAAGGCTAGAATTTCACAACTTGTCCCATTACAGAGAATAAAATGGATACTGTAAAATGACTAATTTTCACTGGGTTTAAATTTCACTGATTTATCATTTCAGACATATTCAGTGGGTTTTAAATTCACGGTTTTATCATTTAGATAATGTGTTCTATGCTAAATTTTACATATTCACTGGGTTTTAATTTAGCGCATTTTCCAGTCAGCGAAATAAGCCAAATTAAAACCCAGTGAATAATTAACCCCTTTACAGTATTCTTCATCTGTCGAAGTTGATATTTTTTTTACATCAAGTGGTTTAACTTATTCATCAAAACAATCCAAGAACATTAATATAGTACTTGTACACAGTATTTGAGGTTAATGTAAATACATGTATAAAAGTGCTATGAATTTTCTGTGAAATGTTTGATTGGTATGCTAATTATATGCAAAATAGCGCCCCTCTTTAAATTTTATTTGTGTAGAAAACTGTTATTGTTTTGTTTTTTTCTTTTTTTATAGAAGTTGATGGTTTACCAATTGAAATGCCAGCTTTGTCACCAACCATGGAAGAAGGAAAAATAACAAAGTGGTTGAAAAATGAAGGTTAGTATGATTGCGATTTTGAGAAATACATGGTGTGTACATCATGTATATGGTTGAAACATCTGTGACAGGCCTATGTTGGTCAACATCAATGCCTTGCAAATCAGAACTGTTTTATAACACATCACATGTATATTCTGCTACATTCAGAGAATTTATAATGTGGATATCAGTGAGTGACTTGCTGCAAGAATGTTTTCTTCATAGCCCAGCAATAAAGTAAAGTACTGCATAGTACTCTTGAATAGGTTTATGGTTTGTGGCAATTCCTCCTCGGAGAAAGGCATAATCTTCTGATTGCTTGCTGCTGATATTATTTAATGTCATGTTGAACACATCTTGTTCACAAAAGGTACATCTGCAATAGAGTGCTTCTCACACTGTTTTGTGAACTGTACCCAAAGCGAATTCATTTTGGTAATTGTTCATAAACTGTTGATGGTTTTTTCACTCCTGTGTATGAAGCACAATGGGAGTTTTTGTGGTTACCCTGCTTGTGTATGTCTATACATTGTACCGGAATCTGCCGTAAATTCGTCCTGGGCTGTTAAACAGCAGTTTGGGTTTTAAAAAAAATGCTGATGACTAAAAGTTTCACCATCATTGATGCATATTCAATGAGTATGTTGTTTATTGTAACTAGCGTGAATGTGTAAGCTTCATTTCGAGAATGAGCTGTTATCACTGTAAACAATGTTAAATTTAAAAACAAATTATGCTGCTTTCAAAATCCCAGTCAAAAGATCGTACAACATCGGTAAATATCTTCTGCTGCTGCTGCATTCAATAACATATTTAAATGAGCTATGGTAATTTGAACACGTTGGCATCATCCATCTTTTTCATTGGTTAATTAGTGAATTAACCTATCAAAGAACACCGTCCAGGTCAAAACATGGCGGATATTCATTTCTACAGCATCAAAATGCGACCAGAATCATTCGCTTATGATGAAATAAGTTTAAATTTATTTTCATTTCATTCCAGTTTCATGTTACATGTATTCTTGTCTGTTCCACAATTATCTACTGCAAGAACTCTTGTCAGTTTTCAATGAATCTTGTTATCTTGGTGCTCTGAGTCAAAGTTCAGACCTGGTTAGTTACAAGTTAGAATATGTGCATATTAATTACTTAATTTGCATAACTAGTAAATTTTTGGATTTTCTACTGATATCTTTGTACATTTCAATGAAACTTGATACATAGATGCTATAGGACAATGCACAAACATGATAGGTTTTTGGTTAATATCCATGCATATTAATTACCTAATTTTCATAATTAATAAATCTTTGGCTTTTCTACTGATATCTCAAGTACTAATCATTTCAATGAAAATTGGTACATAGATTTGCAGACACTGTAGTTTATTAATTACCTGATCTGCATGATAATTAGTCAGTTTTCATCTTTTCTATCATGATCTCAAATATTAATCATCTTAATTCACTACGTTCAATTATCATAGACTCTGGTCAGTCAAAATGACTATTTTGAACTGTAGGCAGTAATCAGCGATTCTGCCGGTGACGGAGAGATAGAATCCAGGTCAGGGGAAGCCCCATGACCTCAAGATTCTTTTACCCCTTACGTCATGAACCCACGTGACCGAGGCCACCTGGCAGCGCTACAGGTAGCCGTCCATCACTCTTAATTTTTCTCCGCCTCGAGTGGAGATGAAATCTAGCGAGCTCTGTTGGATCGCCTGCCTTTTTTCCTGTCCGGATTTATGGCTTGGGTTGTTGCCGCTGCTCGGCATCCAACATTGTAGCTGGTAGGATAAGTTTTCCTTGTCATTTTTACCCTCGTGTCGTTTTCCCCTTTGTGTGTAGTATTTTTCACAGCAAAAAAAAATCAAAATCCGGCGCCACTACGTAACCAGTTGGTTTTCATGGCGGCACCTTTTACAACTGTAATTCGTTTTCCTCATGCATGTCGTCTTTATTTCAATGTATTTAGC